GGAGGGAGGGAGGGGAGAAAAAATTCTTCCTTTAAATCCCAGTGTCTCCTCTCTTCTCTCTCTTTATTCCTGGGGTGACTCAGACATCCCATGGGTGGTTGCATAAGCCCTGAGGTAGCTCCCAACATTGAGGCCTGGGGGTAATGGCACAAAGAGGCGTCTGTAAAGGGAGAGAAGGAGCTAAGCTGTGCCTGACGGAATGAGGGAAGGAGCGACCAATTGAATGAGTGCTGGGGCTCGGCCAGCTCTGTCTCCATCAGGGATTGAGTAACTTGGATGCCTTCTTCCTGTTTCAGGGCTAGAACCCTCTCTCCCCTGCCCAGCCCAGTTTAGACACTTGGGGTTTCAGGAGCCTCAATACAAGGAGGTGGGAATGGACTGAGAGGGAGGCGGGAAATGCAAAGGGAACCTGAGTGAGTGCTGCTCAGACGACGTGCCTAGGAGTCAGGGATCCTTACCCTCTGGGGTCCTGTGACTAGGTCTGGGTTGGTGTCAACTCCCACCCCCACTAGACTTCCCATGGGGCCCTCAGCCCCCATTAGTCCCCACATTCTCCCCCAGCTGCCTGCAGACCCGGCCAGGTCATTCCCACCCTCTCCCACTCCAGCGTCCCTGTCCCCCGAGTGACCCCACTCATCCTCACCCTCGGACTCCCTCTCAGCCCTGTCTGTCCCCCTAGAGAGTGGCCATGTGGACGGGGCTCCAGGCGCTCTGACACCTCCCATGTCCCCATGAGAATAGCCCACGATGTCACCAGAACTTTTTTCACGTGGAGAATCATTGGAGTGATGACAACTCAGTTTCCTGGAAGGGGAAGAAGTGGGGTTTTGGGGAAGGGGTGGTGCAAATGGTCATGAATTGGGCTGTGGGGAGGGTTGCACAGCTCTGTGAGTTTGCTACGAACCATTGAGCTGCACCCATAAAACCTGGGAGGTGTGAGGTTGGAGATTTCCTCATGATGGAGCCTGAGATCCTGTTCTGCTTCCTCTCAGGGCTCCTGCCCACACCCCCCCTCAGGGCCGAACCAGGCCCTGTGGTCCCCCGGGGATGGCCTGTGACCTTCGTGTGCCAGGGCCCAGCTGGGGCTGAGTACTTCCGCCTGGTGAAGGATGGAAAACATGAATTTCATGATCAGAAAGGTGTGTCTCAAGATGGTTCGCAGGGGACAGAGTACAGATTCCACTTCCCCGCGGTGAGTGAAGACATGGCTGGGAGTTACCACTGCCTCTATCCCGATGTGTATGTGTGGTGGTCTGAGCGCAGTGAGCCCCTGCAGCTGCAGGTGACAGAGGACAACTCCACTACGCCCTCAGGTGGGTCCTTGGGCCCTGCTCCCTGTCCCAGCCATGACTCTGTCCTCAGTTTCCCTGCCCTCCTGCTCACCCCCAGCCCTGGGGCTCCCCTCGCTCAACAAACATGACCCTCAGCCTTCACCCCTGGCCCAGGGCCCTGGAGTCTGGTCCCATCTGGACACTACGGTGGCCTGGACCCTGAGCCCCTCATCAGAGGGACACAGAGCTGTCCTGCTGGACTGGGTGGGGCCTGAGCTTCCAGCCACCAGGTGGGGACAGACCCCTTCAAGGGGCCTGAGTCCCTCCCCTCAGGATGCTCTGCTAATGTATGGAGGGTGGTGGGATGTTCAGAGGGGTGGCCAGCCCCTCCGACAAGTGGATGCAGAGAGGGTGCCACCCCAGTGTCCTCGTCCCCCTGCCCTCCATCTGCGGGGTGTCGGGGGGGTCCTCTACACTGGGAGGTGCAGAGAAACAGTGGGCGCAGTGGATGGGGAAGGCCAGGTGAGCGGGGCAGACAGAGAGGAACTTGGGCTCAGTGCTTCCCTTGCCCCCATCACTGGAGCCCCTGGAGACCTCCGCTACCCCACCCGGAGCCTGGGCAGGGAAAGGGGGACGTCAGCCTGGGGCACCCCCTCTTTGGGCTCTGCGGGGCAGTGGGTTCCTGCCTCCTAGGGCCTGGCCTGGCTGGGTCGTGTCCACCTGTCAGTGACCCCTGACCTCTGCTTCCAGGCCCCGCCTCCCGGGATTACACGGTGGAGAACAGCATCCGCATGGGCCTGGCGGGCGTGGTGTCGCTGACCCTGGTGGCGATTCTGGTGGAAGCTGGGCTCAACCAGCGCAGGGCCCCACAGGGACCACAGGAGTAAACACAAAGGAGCCCCCCCAGTGAGAGGGGACCCCAAGCCCCAGCAGGGACCTCCCCGAGGGCCCGAAGCTCACGCTGGAGCCGAGATGGCCAGAGCTGCCTCCGCTATTGTTCAAGGACAAGAGAACCCAGCCCACGTGGGTGAGGATGCTTGGCCTCAACCTTCATCTTCCCAGGACCATGGAGAGGAGTCATCTTGAATAACAGGCAGACAGACAGGCTAGGGTTCAAGGGATAGAAAGGCAGGAGGAGGCAGGGCAGATACGACCATGTTATCCAGTCTGACCACAGAGCCAACCACAGAAATAACAATGCTTTAGACGCAGAGGGGAAACACGTGAAACTAGGGAGGTGCTGCAACCATAAGGTGAGCTGAGGCATAGGAACCAGGAAGGTTCAGTTGTGCTTCTGGGCAAGAACAATTGAGAGAATCCATCAGGTGGCCACAGGGGGAGACAGAGAGCAGGTTTGTAGCAGATATGTACCCCTAGACCACAGGCTTCAGTGGCCACCATGACTGAGCCTCTTCCCATGCAGGGAGTCTGAATCTGCTTGCAATAAAGTTTCCCTACGTTTGCTTCCATCTTCTCCTCTGAGATTTCATTCTTTGGGGCCGTGAGACACCATCTGGGGGCGACCCCGGGAGCTGCAGCAGCAGCTCCCCTGGTCTCCAGCCGCCAGCCCTCCCTACAGATTGTGCACTTGCCAGACTCCTGGATTGTGTGAGCCAATCCTGCCACATACATCTCTCTGCATATACAAGCTTGTTGGTCCTGTGTCTATGACAGACCTTCCTGGTACCAGGATCTTTCCCTGAATCTAGAATGGTTCAGGAATCTGGAGAAGGGCTGCGAGTAAATTAATAAAGAGACTGGACATGAAATATGAATTTGGAAGGACTTTGGGGAGCCAGAGGAGACGTAGCTTCAGTAACCAAGTTCTCTGAATCTCTGTACTCCTAGCTTTTTATTAACACAAATTGCTCTAAAGCAAAGCAGATATACATATCAAAGGTAAGGTTTGGTACACAGTAGGCATTGTCAGGTTGGGGGAGCTGCCTTCAGCTGTTCAGCTGTTCGGCCAGCAGCAGGTAATAACATGTAGGTTTTCAGGTTTGGGGAAATGCTTCCAGCTATTTCAGCAGCAGGTAATATGATTTGGTAGTGCTGAATATAGAAGCCCATCAACCTCTTGATCAACTTCTTGCATTTATGACCTGC